ATAGGTTTCAATGGTGATAACTGTAGAGATGTATATAAAGGCATACATATGGAATCCCTTCTGACAACCTGTACCCTTTCGGGAGACTTTCTGACTGAATTCTGTCCTGAGGTCCATGATACTTTCCATGTGTTTCTGGATATCGACGAAAAACATGACTGAACGGGAGAGAAATGCAAATTGTTATGACTCGGTGGTACTGTGAACATAAATCAATGGTGGAGATGAGGTAGGCTATTGGAAAAGTGGTGGGTGGGAAAGCCCAATAGATTGAGCCTCATCCTAGAAAAGAAGGGAGGTTTCCCCAGGCACTCAATGGCACAAAGGCCTGCAGACAAAGGTGGATATTTGTATGACCTCACTAACAAGTGAAAAAAAGAGAAGGGGGAAAAGGCACAAGGAGAAAAGGCAGATCCTAAGTCCCTAATTTCATGACCTCTCCATTAAAGCTGATAGATATATCAATCATCCTTCTACCATCACACTGGCATTTAGTCCTAATAGTATAATGTTTCAGAGTTCAGTAAACCTGGCCTAGTGAGAAATCCAAGAAAAATAATATTCCAAATGCGAAAAGGCAATCCAAGCAACAACACATGCCTTTCTCCTCCTCCTACAGCTTTGAGAAATAGCTGCAAGAGGCTTTAGTCTGAACCCTGCCTACCACTTCTTTGGCTGGCCTGCCTAGGGGAGATCTTGGGCTTTATTGAGGGGTTGAGTCATCATTAGCTTTCTCCTTTTATGTCAGTAGCTCAATCTATGACTTTCAGTTTCCCTTTTGTTCAGTTAAAACCCCTGACCATCTTCTTAACTCTTCAAATGCCAAATGGGAAATAAAGGATAAATTATAATGCTGTTCTGCCTGTGGTAAAATTGGTGGGTCCCTGCTTCATGTAGTCCCCTCCAAACTGAAAAAAAAATACTCCTGATTTTGTCCATTTTTGCACATCTGTCCAAAGATAGTACACATGACTCCAGTGGAAGTTGACACTGGTGGAGGATGTTTCACAGATAATGACAATGACACTTGGACTAACTCTTGTTTGCACTTGTGCAGAAGGCAGCAATGATAAACCATTTATGAATATTTTATACCTCATAAACCCCTTGATGATACAATCCAAAACCATCCTCCTTCTTTCTCAGAAGAATATTAGGCTGTTTGTGAACTTAGTATACTAGTCTTATTTTTTTTCTTGTGCTATCAAGTGTGAGCACCTTGTAGTGCTTCATGTGTTGTTGCATGGAAACTCTGCTCATCATTCACCACTGCTTATGCTGGTGGGGGCTGGACAAAAAAAGTAGCCATCCCATGCCATTTAGTCTATTTATATTTATCTTCAACAAAACTCTGGAAGTAAAATAGGAAGGCTAGGTTGAGGGACAGTGGCTTAAATCCTATTGGTTGTTGTTAAGTGTAAGTGTGGTCAAGTTACCTTCAACTAATGATGATTTGTATGAATGTAAGATCTCTTATAGGGGACTGGAATGCTAAAGTAGGGTCTCAAGAGATAAAAAGAACAACAGAGAAGTTTGGCCTTGGAGTTGAAAATGAAGCAGGGCAAAGGCTAATAGAGTTTTGTCAAGAGAACAAGCTGGTCATCACAAACACTCTTTTCCAACAACACAAGAGGCGACTCTACACATGGAATCACCAGATGGGCAATACTGAAATCAGATTGATTATGTTCTCTGCAGCCAAAGATGGAGAAGCTCTATACAGTCATCAAAAACAAGACCTGGAGCTGATTGTGGCTCTGATCATCAGCTTCTTATAACAAAATTCAAGCTTAAACTGAAGAAAGTAAGAAAAATCAATAAGATATAATCTAAACAAAATCCTTTTTGAATACAGAGTGGAAATGAAGAACAGATTTAAGGAACTCAATTTGGTGGACAGAGTGCCTAAAGAACTATGGATGGAGGCTCGTAACATAGTACAGGAGGCAGCAACAAAAACTATCCCCCCCCCCAAAAAAGAAAAGGAAATGGAAGAAAGCAAAGTGGCTGTCCAATGAGGCCTCACAAATAGAAGAAAAGGGAAACAAAATGCAAGGGAGATAAGGAAAGTTACAGAAAATTGAATGCAGACTTCCAAAGAATAGCAAGGGGAGACAAGAGGGTCTTCTTAAATGAACAATGTAAAGAAATAGAGGAAAATAATAGAAAGGGAAAAACCAGAGATCTATTCAAGAAAATTGGAGATATTAAAGGAACATTTTGTGCAAAGATGGACATGATAAAGGACAAAAATGATAGGGACCTCACAGAAGCAGAAGACATCAAGAAGAGGTGGCAAGAATACACAGAGGAATTATACAAGAAAGATCTGGATGTCCCGGACAACCCAGATAGTGTGGTTGCTGACCTTGAGCCAGACATCCTGGAGAGTGAAGTCAAGTGGGCCTTAGAAAGCATGGCTAACAACAAGGCCAGTGAAGGTGATTGCATTCCAGTTGAACTATTTACAATCTTAAGATGATGCTGTTAAGTTGCTACACTCAATATGCCAACAAGTTTGGAAAACTCAGCAGTGGCCAGAGGATTGGAAAAGATCAGTCTACATCCCAATCCTAAAGAAGGGCAGTGGCAAAGAATGCTCCAACTACCATTACAATTGCACTCATTTGACACACTAGCAAGGTTATGCTCAAAATCCTACAAGCTAGAATTCAGCAGTATGTGGACTGAGTACAAACTGGATTTCGAAGGGGCAGAGAAACTAAAGACCAAATTGCTAAGATATGCTGGATTGTGGTGAGCGCTAGAGAGTTCCAGAAAAACTCTATTTCTCCTTAACTGAATACGAAAAAGCCTTTGATTGTGTGGACCACAACAAACTATGGCAAGTTCTTAAAGAAATGGGAGTGCCTGACCCCCTTATCTATCTCCTAAGAAATGTATATGTAGGGCAGGAAGCAACAGTTAGAACTGGATATGGAACAACTGATTGGTTCAAAATTGGGAGAGGAGTACAACAAGGCTGTATATAGTCTCTCTGTTTATTTAACTTATATGCAGAATACATCATGCAAAAGGCAGCACTGGATGAATCACAAGCCAGAATTAAGATTACCAGAAGAAATATCAACAACCTCAGATATGCAGATGATACCACTCTGATGGCAGAAAGAGAGGAGGACTTAAAGAACCACTTAATGAGGGTGAAAGAGGAGAGTGCAAAAAATGGTCTGAAGCTCAACTTCACACACATACACACACACACACACACACACACACAAACTAAGATCATGGCCACTGGTCCCATCACCTCCTG